ACATAGTACGCTGACCCCGCATAATATTAACCTTCCTAGATATACTTTAGCTACAAGTCGGCAGAGGTAGTATTGTTTGGCATTCATTCATCACTCATTTGTTTCTTCCTGAATATCATATGCACACTCAAGTTAACTAACAACTGCGCAATTATACCTACTTTACAGAGTAACAATATAAAGAGTGCAACCGATATGGATTCGGAGGTACAATCAGAATGCAGCAATATACTCGCGCAGGTCGATCAGTTTTCAGACGCCCAATCAAAAGCGCTGACTGCTCTCCAAAGTGCCATTGATGAGCAGGCCAAGAACACAGTGAGTCACCTCGGTTTATCAATCAATCATTTATAGTCATCTGTCATAGCACATTTATTTCTCTATTTTGATGTACACAATATACTACTATATATGCTACTATGCATGTATGCATGTATGTATGCATGCATGAAGGTATCCATATACACACACACATATATATATATATATCTATATTTCTATATTTCTATATATCTATATATCTATAAGTGTATATATGTATGTATATGTATATGTATATATGCATGTATGTATGTATGTATATATATATACATATATATACATATTTATATAAATCGGATGTATGTATATATATATATAAATATATATATATATATATATATATATATATAATATATATATATATATATAATATAGATGTGTGTGGGTGGGTGGGTGTATACATGTAGTACTGTAGTATTGTATGTATGTATGTGTATATACGTATATACATATATAAGTATTTTTTTCAGGATCGTACACGATTTTGTGAACCTCATTGGATTACAATCGCAGAATCATACTAGAATGGCTGTGGTTAGGCCATGTGTGTGCGGTTATTTGAAGCTGTGTTACACAAGCTGTCCATCTCCAGCCCACCCTCAATGTCATCCAACGTACCATCACAGACCACTGAGTACGAGGCTGTAATTGGGTTGACGCAGAACATACGCCAAACCCTGACCGACAAACTGGGGCAGTTGGTTACCGTAGCTAAAACAGGGCTGTATAAAAATAAGGAGATTGCCGAGAATATGGTCTCTGGAAGTGAGACTACCCTCATCGAGGTGTGTTGCGGTTTGTTGTTGGTGTGTTGTGATATGTGACCTTATCTGTGATTGGCTTTTTATGAAGTACACATGTGATTGGTTTCGGAAGCATGCTCAATCTACGCTGCTACGCATATGCCACTCTGTCATGTGCGCTTAGGCATAGTTGGGATCTCCTTGTTGAGTCATCAGAAACCATCGTAAACTATCGAGTGATCATGATTCATCAGCCCTAGCTGTGGTATACACATCAGAACACATCCTGACCTACTAGCTATCATGACTCATCAGCACTAGTTGTGGTATAAACATTAGTTACCATGGTGGTGTATGCAGTTGTAGTGGCTACTTACCACTAGTTGTGACATACATATCAGTTACCATGGTGTTGTATTCAGTTGCCATGGTGGTGTAATTAGTTGTAGTGGCTACTTAGCACTAGTTGTGACATACACATCAGTTTCCATGGTGTTGTATTCAGTTGCCATGGTGGTGTATTGAGTTGTAGTGGCTACTTAGCACTAGTTGTGACATACACATCAGTCACCATGGTGTTGTATT